GTTTTCCTTCCCTGACCTTCACTTTCCTGCGCTATCCTGCAGGTTGATCGTGAGTAAGAAGGAGAGGATGCTGGTGAAGGGAACCGGTTTTCACGTGGATCTTTTAATCATCGTGGTGGTGGGCGGAGTCTCGGCTCTGTTCGGCCTGCCCTGGCTGTCGGCCGCCACAGTTCGGTCTGTGACTCACACCAATGCCCTGACCGTCATGAGTAAAGCCGTTGCCCCTGGAGACAAGCCTCGCATCCAGGAGGTGAAGGAGCAGAGGGTGACGGGCTTCTTGGTGGCGTTTCTAGTAGGTACGACTACCGTCGAGCGTATCAGTGCCGCTTCTGCTGCTCGCAGTGTGCTGCTGCGACGTCTGACCTGCTGTCTGCTCTGTCAGGTCTGTCCATCGTCATCGGCGAAGTTCTGCGTCAGATCCCGCTGGCAGTCCTGTTCGGGATCTTCCTCTACATGGGTGTGATGTCCCTGAATGGGATCCAGCTCACTGAGCGACTCATCTTGCTGCTGATGCCCCCAAAATACCACCCCAACCACAACTACGTCCGCAAGGTCAGTCATTCCCTGTGGCTCACAGACACTGCAGGGAAAACTGCATGCCGATGCAAGGATTGCCTGATCAAAACAGAAAAAAGTGTCTGCTCACGGGTGCCGGTTTAGCTCACTGCGTTGAGCGGGCGCCCAGTTATGAACAGATTATGCACAGACAGACGAAAATATCCAAACTGTAACCAGCTTTAGTGCAGACAGTCATACTCGATTAATAAAGGTACAAAATAATTTCACATCTATAAACTGTGCCAAACAAATCCAGATAGTCTGATAATTCTCAGCTGAGCCACAGGTTTGACTGTTGGAACGAGCAAACAACGGCGAGCGCAGTCAGTATTATACTGTAGGTGATCAGAGTGGGTGTGTACTCAGCTTTATGAGGCAAACACAACAGGATATAGAAACCTGGACGTTCCCCCCGCTGTCACAGACGAATCCTTCAGGTGAGCTTCCAGGTCGAGCTTCAGCCTCCGACGTCGGCGCTATCGGTCTGAACCGCCGTCCCAGCTCCTCACACGCCGTCTCTCACATGTCCTCTGCTGTCTCACAGGTGCGGACTTTGAGGATGCACCTTTTCACTCTCATCCAGCTGACATGTCTGGCTCTGCTGTGGGTCGTCATGGCGACAGCGGCAGCGCTGGCCTTCCCCTTCGTGCTGCTGCTGACCATCCCCGTGAGGATGCTGCTGCTGCCCCGCCTCTTCTCCCGCCGAGAGCTGCA